GTACAATTCCCAAAGCAATCATTATCAGTGACATTTAATGACTCAATTAGTCTAGGGCTTGGGAAGATTTTATCAAAGCTAGATTAGAGTTTTGAAGCCAGTGAAAATAATTTGTTTTATAACATTTCAACTATTTAAGGGTAATATCCCAGCATAAAATTTTGGAGAAATAGCATTATCTTCTGTGATCTGAAACTTAGCCTTTACTGATATTTGAAAATTCTGAAGGAAATTCAAAGAATAGACACAAGAGTCAATGTAAAACAACTTCAAAAGTTTAGAGACTTAGATTATAATAGTAGAAACATCCATCCTTTGATTTGATTCAATCATGTTTACAAAATAGTTGAATGTTTTTTGATCAGCTATTATTTGGGGCAAAGAGTACACACAGACTTGGTGGTTTTTTGGTAGTCATTGAAAATATATTCTTGAGAAATATAGAAAGACACATCAGGATTTTCTCTTCACGTATCTGGTATATTTTTGAACTAGTTTTATGCATTCCTGATTCCAGACTAGTCCTTTGGGGGAACACGAGCAAGATCAACTTGGGCAACATATTGCCTGAAGTAAGAACCGAGAATACGATGTTAGATAAAATCAAATATATGGCCAATGTAATATTTTGAGAGTCATAGAGATGACAAAGTGAGACTATTTCTGAGCTAGGAGTGACCTTAAAACATTTTACCTCTTGTATGGCATAAGCACTGGCCAATCAGAATCTAAATGCTGAAGTAGGATCCTGGGGAACTCCTGCTGTGCCAGCCAGCACCTCATTTTTGCTGGATCATGAGAGGTCTTCAAGGAGGCACCAGAGTGGAAGGGGCAATGGAGCTGCACTGATAGATCATTGCCAGTAGTTATGTACCAAATGCTACAGATACATTTTACTATTTCCACAAGCTGCCTGGTTCTCCTGGCATATGGTCGTGGAATAGCAGCCCTGTCCTTGGCTCAAGCTTCTCTAGGACAATGGTTCTCAAAAGGTGGTCTCAGGACACCCCAGAGTTCTTGAGATCCTTTGGGGACATCCATAGTTCCTGCCTTTCTCAAGGACATGTCTATGTAAGCTAGACTTCATATGCTTATACCAAACAGAATATTGTAACATATATGCTGAAGCAGATATGCAAATCTGGTTATCTTTTACTAAGTCAGACATTAAATGATTTGCAAAAATGTAAAGCGGTGTCATTATTCTAAAAAATAATTGTCTCTGCTTTGAAAAATATAGTACTTTCAACAAAATATACTATTTTTGATAACGAGACGGGTTTATTACTTTTAAGTAAAGTAATAAATAATAATTTTTAAGAGTATAAAAAATTACTTAAGACCAAGAATTTGAGAACTGCTGCGTTAAGAAATAAAGCAGTCAGATCTGTGGAGCACCGGGAAAGAGAGGCCAAATAGCCCCAACCTCTAATCATTCTGCTCAGAGTTTCATTTGTCACTTGAAAGCTAATAATAACTTTAAAATATCCCTTTGTTTTCCTTATGCAAAAATATGTACCAGCATATGTTTATATTTCAAAACCTCACTAAGTTATGTGTATGAAGTTTTCAATATTGGATTTTTTGGGGTAAAAAATGCATTTCACTAAACTATGCTAAAGGAACTATTATCAAAATGCCACCCAGAAGAAAATAGGTTTATATAACAAATTAAAATTTTAATTAGCCTATAAATTGTCATGTTTAAGGTACTCCTAAGATGCTTGCAATCCAATAGTTTTGTATTTTCAGCATTTCATCAGAAATGCTTTTCACACTAACGTTTTACCTGATTTTCAAAAGGAGGAAAGTAAACAGCCTCAATTTGTGCTATTATCTCAAATTCTAAAGCCACAGAATTTAAATGATCCTTCACTGTATCTAAAGTAATGATGATTGAAAGGTCTACCATTATTGTATACAGTTTACCCTGGAACAACACAGAGATTGAATGCCAACCCCATGCAGTCGAAAATTCACATGTAACTTTTAATACCCCCAAATTTAACTAAGTATCTATGGGGGATTGGTTCAGATCCTCCCCAAACCAGATCCCAAAATACACAGAAGCTCAAGTCCCTGATATAAAATGGGGTAGAATGATGCATATAGTTGGCCCTCAGCATCTGTGGATTCCCAACTGCAGATTGATAACTGCTTCTCGTCTGCAGTTGTTTGAAACTGTGGATGGGAAACCAGGGGATATGAAGGGCCAACTCGATACTTATTGAAAAAGACATGTGCAGCCAGGCTGGTGTGGCTCAGTGGTTGAGCACTGACCAATGAACAAAGAGGTCACTGGTTCGATTCCCTGTTCAGAGTACATGCCCAGGTTGCAGGCTCAATCCCCAGTAGGAGGCATGCAGGAGGCAGCTGATCAACGATGTTTTTCTTTCATCGATCTCTCTATCCCTATTCCTTCCTCTTTCTAAGAATCAATAAAAACATATTATAAAAAACACACGTGTAAGTGAACTTGTGAAGTTCAAATGCCTGTTATTCAAGGTCAACTGTATAACAAAACAAATAAACAAGCAAAACAAACATCCAAAACGGCCTCCTTATGAAGCTGGGATGTCAAAGGGCTACCAGGTAAATGAAAAACACCACCACCCATCAGAAACGAACTTCAAGGGAGTTGCAGGTCTCAATCTTAGCACTGGATAAAGGAAGGGGACAAAAATAATTTCCCCTAAGAATCTGACCCTCTGCTCTTGCTTTGATTAAAGCTTCAATTCATGCAATCAGTGTGGTCATAGACCTTAAACAGAGAATGTAGGTAATACACCCAGGTGACTAACAGGAGCAAACACAATTTATCTTGTAATGATGACACTGATGATATGAGGGAAACCAATTTCAGAAGTGTTAAAATGTGGAAAAACAACAACAGAAATGTGTGCCTTAGAAACAATGAAATACAGTAATTAGAATTTACTGGATTATAAAATTAAATACTGCTTATCTGGGATTAATGTATATTATGCCATACTTTATCAATCATCCTAATACACTTTACTCTAGCAGGTACAAAATATATTGTGATGGACACAAAAAGTTATCCAACATTCTTGGTGTGTCAATGTCTAAGACCACAATATAATTATAAAAATTAACAAGCTCACCTCAAAATTAATATATTTGGTAAGCATATTTTTAGTGCATGCCATTTCTTTTTCTGATTTCTTTCCTCTGAATGTGTCTACAGCCTTGGAATACATTTGTATTGGTCACTGATTTATTAAGGTCCCTTGATTTTCATAATTCAACAGGAAAAAGTAACTTTTGAAAACAGAGATTAGGAATATACTTTTAAAACCTACATTTGAATTATAAGGGGCTCTGGGTCCTAAACTGAACACCACAATGTTTCCAGGCCAAGAGCACACACGCTCTTCTGTATCATACTCTGAAGCAGAAGCCCAGATTCGGTACATAGTACCGGGGTGGCAGCTCCAGTTCTGTATTTCTTTTGTTTATTGGTTTGGTTTCTATGAAATGTAGACTCAGGCGAGGCATGTTGCTGCAATTGGCATCCCAATTCTGCACTGCAAATGTAATATTATAGCTTCTTGAGAAGACAAGAATGGAACTTTTAGTCATTAGTGCCAAGTTGCCTAATTTAGCTGTGAGGCTTTTGGGTTACAGTTTGGACCCAGAAATCTTTCTACTCAGCAGGCATTTGACCCAGCCACATTTTATAAGATCAAGTGAATCTTTCTAGACTGGATGTTTGGTATGGGACCAACATGAGAATGAGCGCTATCAGAAATCAGCTGTCTTCTGGGGGCAGTGGTGCTACCCACTGGCCATTAAACTGCACGCTAAAAACACACGGGTCATTCAGCTTTTCTAAAATGGAGAATATTGGGACTCTTGCCTTTTTAAAAATAGCTTTAGGCACTGCATGGTGATTCTCTTTTTCATGTCTTTAGGTAATGAGTTATAGATTATACAGCACTTGGATATAAGTATACTCTTTAAGAGGGGTTTTGAGACCTGCATGAAAATACTCAAAACTGAGCCTTAGAAACTGAAAAATGGCTAAAGGATTGGCTGAGAAAAATGCCCCCCTTTTCTTTCCTTACAAATGTCCTCTCAGTGCTAAGAGTGTAAAATGCTACATCAAATAGGATGCCTCTTAAATGATAAATGGGTGAAGTAGGTGCTTTGAATAGAAATGCTAAATAAAGCTCTTCTGTTGAAATTATGGCCTTGGTACAAAATGGCATTTATTCAAGTCATTCAAACAACTTCATTCCTTTCACAAAGAATAAAAAGACCTCTTAGAAGCCCAGACACCTTTTCTTTGTTTTCTTACAAGAAAAAAATAACCAAAAGAAATCATTCCAAGTGGAATTGGATCCATAGGCTTGCTTTTCTACCATTTTGTGTTACGAGAGTAAATGGATAATTAATAGTTACATGCTTTCTTCCTAGTTGTGAAAAACAAAACCCTGTGCGTATCGACTTTTCTTTCTCCTTGACCAACAGAAAATATTATATTTTATATTGATATATAAACATACATAACACATATCCACACATTTATGAACATCTGGGCATATGCATAAATACACACGTGTGCAAGTAGAACACCTCAATCTCAATGTTTGTTTGCTTGTTTCAAAACACACTCAACTCTCACTGTTGATTTCACCAATATTTTCTTAAGTACTCATACCCTCATTTTTTAGCTATTATACAATTACACATCACTTCTTGTGAATAAGTCTTTCTGTGAGTGCCTATGGGGTTCAAGTTTAGTTAAAGACAGAAGACTTACTGTAGTGCAGAACCGAGGTCAATGTTGAAGTCCTATCTCTTTCTCAAGAAATTTTATCCTGAGCACATTAACATAGGCCTGCTCATTTGCCCCCTGAGAAGCCATTTGCTTTTCCATGGGACCTGATTTCCTCAAGACCCCAAACGTCTGTGTTGTCCCTCTTCTGAGGGATGTCTGCTGCCAAGTTTCTGAGCACAAGCCAGTTGGGACTCACCTCTCCTTCCCTGGGCCAAGGCCTTCCATTCTGGGTGTATTTGCTTTGATTCTGTCTCTTCTTTTGTCCTCCATCAGCGAATTTGCACAGTAAAGGCTCACTAGGGGCTGGGAAGATAAGAAACCAATCCTACATTAGCAAATCCCCCTTAAAAATAAGTGATTATTTGAGTCACAGTAGGGCTTTGTAAGGCATATCTTTTGAAGTAGTCTTGCTTCTGGAGAGATGTTTGGCCCCCTTTTAGTCTCAGCTCTGTTGGCTGCTGATCTAACTGGGCTTCAAAAAAGTACTGGCAGACCATAAAAGCATATGACAAATATTGTTGAAAAAATAATCAGCTGAAGCAGAATGTGAACTTGCCTTAGAAGTAAAGAGGCCAGCGTCGACCCCTTCCAGTTACGTTAGAAACATTCATAACCAGTATTCGTGTTTGTATAAATATTTCTCCCTCAAATTAACTCTGTTTTCACTGTAGAAACTGTCAAATTCTATTTTGGAAATAGGTACTTAGGAGCTTCTTTCTACAAAGGGGGCTATTTTGCTAATTGCAACCAAATTAGCTATTTTTTTCTCATTATCCCCTACAATTTCATAAAGACTGGAAATTGATTGTTCGTCCAACCCCTTTCACTCCAATCTCCCAGTAAAATCTAGTCAGAATCCCAGGGGGACTAACGATTTGAATATTAAGTGAACCCACATGATAAAATATAGCCAAAGGATATGGCCCTAACAAACGAACCATGGATGATGGGGGGCGGGGGAGGGGGGTAATATATGGTCCTCAGTGACTATGTACACTTAGTTCCTAAGAAAAAGTGACCCAAACTAACATCTGATGAACCCCTCTTCTGTAATTACTCTGCAAAATGATAATCTTTTGAAAACGTAATAGGGCAAAAAATTATTCTTTGTGAGTTGGCGCCACCTCCACATCCTTACTTGACTGTGAAAATTGCTGCTTGTTATTACTACAAACATGTTTTAAAATGAATGAATTTTTAAAAAGCCATATTGGCCTAACAAACCTGATCAATGCACTAACATGCCTGGGAGGGTTTTTTGTTAGTTTATTTGTCTGAGCACAAACCAAATATCAATTTGTAAGTTTACAGTCTGAAAACCAAAATGAACCCTTTCCTCCTCGCCCCATACTCTGGGGGGAAAAATGTGTTCTACTGAAAATTAATTGTACTAATGGTTCTAATTCTTTACTCCTCCCAATATCCTTTTCTTTTGCCATTTAGTATTGTTGAGTTCTCTCAACCTGACTCTTGGTCTGACCTCAGATAAGTTGTTTTGACCAATGAGATATTAGCAAATGATACAAAATATTTTTAAGCATTGGGGCTTGCTTTGCATAGCTTGTTTCTCTGCATAGCTACTTGAATATGCCCAGCCAGACCTGCTGGAAGATGAGCTACAAATAGAGATGAGTCATCCCTACCATTCCAGCCAAGGCCAAACTAGATCATCCAATGGCAAACACCCACCCAGACATTTGAGTGAGCCTGTCTAAGATCAGCAGGGGTACATAGATAATGCGCAGTTGACCACAGAAAAATGTATAAGCCCAGGTAAGTTCAGTCAAGGCCATCCCAGAAATCTTTAATAAATCTTTATTGTTTCATGCACTAAGATTTAGAAATTGATATGTAGCATTATTATCTTAATAGATAATGCCAAAAGCCATTCCTCCCCATTTTCACTCCCAGTTAGGTTGCTTGCATTTACTAATCTAGCTGAAGCAAAATATTGTTATAGAATTTATCTAAACTCTTTCTCCAGATGAAACCCAAAAGGGTAAATGCAATCACCAGACCTCAAACTCTATGCATAAAAAAATTTCCTATGAGATTTCAAAAGTACATATATATTCCTCACATTCATCCATCCATTCAAATGGTATAGTCATGCTAACATGTGAGTTTTTCACTGGCAGTAACACAAATTTCTAGAACACCAAATCTATAAAAACCTTAAATCTTCTGCTTATATAGAATTGAAGATTCTACCCTTTATGATTCTTTGGATAATGACTTTCATGAGTCATACTTTCTACTGTCTGAAGCAAGACTCATTGGAATTTGTGTCTCCTAAAACAGATTCTTATAGACTATGACAATGGCTTCTCTTCTGGTTGTTCATGTTTCTATAGACTTGTTCATGTTTCTTGTCTGCTTCCTGGGTTAAAGCCTAGTTTCCTGACTTACTAGTTAAAAGACAATGGGCATTATTAAAACAAACAAACAAACAAAAAACATTTCTGTGACTCATTTTCCTCATGTATAAAATGGGGATGATATTGTTATTTACCTCAAAGAGCTGTTGTGAGAATTAAGTGAATTAATGCATGGAAAAGGGCTTAAAACAATGCACAGTACATAAAACAAACACTAAATCCATGTTGGCTGTAACTATCACCATCTCTTAGCATCTCTGTTAGCCACTGCCAGTTTTCAGCTGTGAAAGCTGATCACTTGTCAGAGTCAGAGTTCAGAGTGTTTAATCAACTGGGCTTAATTTTCATCAGCCCGGTTCCATTCTAACTCCATGGTGGTTTGGCCACAGAATGTGACTGTTCTCCAGGAACGACAAAAAGATTTGCTCGCAGAGAGGATCTGTGTTTCCCAAATGGTTCTTGCTGACTAAGCTTGTCACTGGACCATCTGCCCACTGCAGCCAGATCCCTGCCCTGAGTCAGCACCAAAGTCTGGCTTCCATTATTATCCGCCCCACCCCAACCCCTCCATATGAGGCAGGTCATGTTGCTCTTACTAGTATGTGTGTTTAAATGCAGTTGCCTAATGAATGTTCCTTCTTCTTTTTCCTTTTAAAATTATTATTACTATTATTTTTGTGTGACTCAATGGCAAAAGATCTATTGATGTTTGAATCCATCAAAGCTGTATTTTACTACTAGAAAAAGTACCAGGCCACCCACAGAGCAATGGGTTTCATTGCGTTTTCTTTCCCCCAAATTCCATATTAAAATGTTTGATAATAACTGTACTAGGACCAAGTTCTAGGAAATTTTTCTTTGTTGAAAGAGATCATCTCTACCTTTAGTTTGTCCTCCAAAAAACAATTATCTATATACTAGAGGCCTGGTGCACGGATTCGTGCACTGGTGGGGTCCTTCAGCCTGGCCTGCGCCCTTTCGCAATCTGGGATCCTTTGGGCCAAAACCAGCCGTCCAACATACCCTGAGGGATGTAGTAGTGTGCTGGGGAGGAGCCTGAGCCTAGGCCAGGCACCGCACCGCTCCTGCTCATCCCAGCCCTGCTGCGGTTCTCAGGTGATACACCTGGAACCAGAGAGGAGGGAGCCCGATTACGGGGTGCATCACCTAAGGACCGCCCTCTCGCAACCTGGGACCCCTTGGGGGATGTTGGAGAGCCAGTTTCTTCCCTATCCCCGCAGGCCAGGCCGAAGGACCCCACCGGTGCACGAATTTGTGCATTGGGCCTCTAGTATACCTATATGTACAGATCTAAAAAGCCAGAGTTTCCCCAAGTCTTTAGTTTATATGTAAGTATTAAATGTATGTTATTAAATATGTAACAAATATATAAGGCATACCTTTATATAAAGAGAATTGATATATCTGTGTATGTATGCACACATGTGTACATATGTACACACATGTGCACACACATACATACATATTTAAAAGCCTTTTTTGGTGCAACCTTGGAAGCTATAGAATTAGGGGGGCAGTGTTCGCAGGAAAACAAACGGCACTGAATAAATCGTTAACTTTTGGATTTCTTCTACACACTGGCATCACAAAATTTTGCAGAAGCATCCTTGCCACAAAATTACCAAATGACAATATTCTAATTTGCTAAGGATCAAATATAGATAGACTATGAGACTCTGGATTTGAAACCTATCTTGAAGTTTTCCATTATTTTTTTTCAATTAAATTGTTTTTCTATTACAATTGACATTCAATATTATATTAATTTAAACACAGTGATTAGACATTTATGTCATTCTAGTGCCCTTCTGACACCAGAAACAGTTATTACAATAATATTGACTGTATTCCCTATGTTGTACTTTAGATCCCTGAGACTGTTCTGTAATTACCAATTTGTATTTCTTAATCCTTTCACCTTTTTCACCCAGCTCCACAATTCCCTTTTCAAAAAATTATTTCTTATTGCTAAGAGAAACTTAAAAAGTCATGGAGTGAGACTTTCTTAACTTTCAACTGAGATGTCTTTGTGAATTGTCTTTTACAGTGTCTTAGAAGCCTCAAATCTTAGCCACCTGATATTTGTCTTTTACAGTGTCTTAAAAGCCTCAAATCTTAGCCACCTGATATTTGAAGACTCTTTAATAAGCTATGGTTTTTGATAATGACTTATTTATATTTCCCAATGTTGCTGAATTGAAACAACTGCTGTTACTTTACTCATTTGAAGATGATTATGATGGCGGGAAAGATAGGACCACAATGAGTTACTAAATGAATAAAACCCAGAAACAAATTTTTAAGTGTGTCATTAAAAAAAAGATGGATCTATCCATAATATTATCCTTGAATTCCAGGAATGTAATTTTGATTTTTAGTTTGGGGTGGGAGGGGTGGGAGGAGAGGTATATTTTATTGAGAGTGGAAGAGATAACATTAGTAAATTAGGTGAATTAAAATACATATACTCTCCTAGTGATTAGGTGACTCCTAAATATATTGTAAGATAAAATTCAAACTCCTTGATTAGAAGATAAGAATTTGTCCTCTTAATCTTATCTTTCATCATTCTCCTCCCAGTCCGAGTGGTTTATAGTTGTCTCACCTCTAAATGCCTTCCTCCTGCCTGGAATTTCCTTTTCTAGCTTCCCTCCCCACTAGCTTCCACCATCCACCTACCCAACCCTACCCCACTCTCCCCACACACAAACCCTTCACCTGCAAACTAAATTACGAATCAACCTTCAGAATGTAGCTCAATGTCATGTACTCAGGGAAGCCTTCATTGACTTGACTTCAGAGTGAAACTGCCTAGTGCTTACTTGGCAGACTTTCCCAGGTTGAATGCTGTTTTTGGGTTAAGTTCTTTGACAGTAGCAATTAATTTCCAGGGTTGAAGGTGAA